CTGAGGTAGGACCACCTGAGCCCAGGAGGTCGAGGTTGCTGTGAGCTGTGATTGTTGTGATCACGCCACCACACTCCAGTCGGGGCGACAGATTGAGACTCTGGCTCAAAAAAATAAAGACATTTTCACAGAAACAAGATTCACTAACAGACTTGGAGCAAAAAATAAAATACAGGGAATTGTTCAGATGAAGGGAAATGATCTCAGGGAGAAACATGTAAATACGGCACTGAAGAACACCAAAAATAACAAATGTGTGCTTTAAGATAAATGATTGTTGACTGCATAAAATTAAGAGCAATGTCAACCGGGTGCAGTGGCTCACACCTGTAATCCCAGCACTCTGAGAGCCAGAGGCGAGAAGATTGCCTGAGCCCAGGGGTTAGAGACCAGTCTGGCGAAACCTGGCGAGACCTCATCTCTACAATACTCGGCTGGGCATGGTGGCGCATGCCTGTGGTTCCAGCTACTTGGAGGGCTGAGGTGGAAGGACTACCTGAGCCCAGGGGGTCGAGGTTGCGGTGGTCTTGAGTGTGCCACTGCACGCCACCTTAGGCGACAGAGTAAGTCTTGGACTCAAAACAAAACAAAAAGTTATAGATCAGCCTCTCCAATGGCAAATAAGAGCATAAAAGCACGTTCCTTTCCTATAACGTCTTCACAGCTTTTGGTACTGAAATTACGCTGGCCTCAAAATTCTGCAGGCACACAATCCCATGTATTGAACCCCCTGGTTTAAATGACTTGCATTGAGCGCTATCATGAAGTTTTACAAAAGTCTGGGGGACTAAAAACCAAGAAAACAGGCACGGCAAGTCTAAAGAAGTGAAGGAGAAACTATAAGAAAGCACACAAATTTAAAATAACTTTTTTGGCCGTGCTCGGTGGCTCAGCCTGTAATCCCAGCACTTTGGGAGGCCAAGGTGAGTGGATTACCTGAGCCTGCGGGTTCGAGATCTACCTGGGCAACTTGACGAAACCTCATCTCTACAACAAATCAAAAATCAACTGGGCGTGGTAGCGCGCCTGTAGTTCCAGCTACTTGGAAGGCTGAGGCAGAAGGATCGC